GCACCAGTAGCGATCTCTTTCGGCTAAGATCCATTTATCAATTAGATATCTAGTTGTAGACCAACTTAATCCACAATAGGGTTCCGGTCCACAGGTTTGAGTGGCAGAACCTGCCCTTGCAAGACTGCCGGCAGATTCATTACCCTTTACTCCTGTGTGACCAGGCACCCAGCAGAGCGTCACTTTGTTTTTGCTTGCTAGCTGCTGCAGCACATCGAAGCAGTCTAGTAAAAGCTTTGAGAAAAACTTCCAAGAGGATAGAGCTTTGACTGCTGCTTGACTATCTGAGTAAATACAGATGCCCGTTGTTTAAGTTGATACGAGCGCAGACCTCGATGGCGTGAACCTCCGCTTGGAAGACAGTGGGCCATATACCCAGCGCTAGCGAGATTCTGGTGTTAGGACCAAATATTCCAGCACCAACTCCTTCTTTGGTTTTTGAACCATCGGTGAACCATGAAATCACTTCTGGTTCTGCTCCAGGAGTGCCATTTTCCCAGCCCAATCGATCGGGAATGAGGACTTCGAACTTTCTACCGAAGCGAAGTTCCATGTTCATGCGATCTGTCCTATCGCAGATCTCTATGCCAGGAACTAGTCTGCAGATAGAGTTTTGACTGTCAAGACTTCCGTACATATTGATATCAGGGTGTAGCCTAGCTCCACTCAAGGCCGCTGTCTTTTTAATGAAGAGGTGCAGAGGGGTAAAACCCACTATGGACTCCAGTGCTGACGTGGGACATGTTCTAATAGTTCCCGTCATAGCTATACATGCGAGTCTTTGCAGTTTATATTGTACAAATATTGTACAAATACATATATTTGATCTCAGAAGATAAAAATGATAAAATCCTCGGAATCAATAATAAATAAACATTGTTTTTAACAAAAAAAAAATAAATAAAAGAAAAGAAAGGTCGATAAAAATTAGTTATATTTTGATACGAGTATATACAAAGATTACATTATGTACCCAAAATAAAAAGTATAGTAAATGTTCTCTTTTATGATCTATTGTATAAACTTCTGAGTGCGTTAAATGCACTCACAGTTACTATATAAGTTCATCACAGAAAGTGAAAGTAAGTTTATTGATTCATTCCTGTGTTGTAGACTATCAATAACATTTTATCAACGAAAGTGATAATAAATTTTCCGAAACTAATGATTAATAAAATTTTATCAACGAAAATGATAATAAATTTCCCGAAACTAATGATGAGTTATCGCTTAAAATTTCTTTCCAGTTCACTTCAAAAACCTTCCAACTTAAACCATTAAACCATTGTTTTATATCAACGACTTTTTCTGGACTAAATAAGGATGAATGAGTCCGTGAAGGACTACCCGGTCCAGAAATGGCCCTACTAGGTCTTCGAATCTTCTAACAAACAAATTGTTAAATAAATTGTTAAATAATCAGTTCTTCCAAAAGAACAAACGTCAATTTATTTCGATGTTTTTTTGAGCATTAATCAATATCAATAATTATATCAGTATCAGTAGTAAAAACCAAATATCTATTGCCGGCATTTACAAAAATATATTACTAAACATATTAAACATATTTGCCAGCGCTGATAATAAAATCTATGATATATTATAAAAGCGAACAGGTAAAAGGTGTTCTTTGCATGCGGTCCCATACGTTGTAATCGAAATATATTATAACTTATAGGCACTTGCTAGTACGCACCAAAAAAAAAATTGATTCTTAATACTGTCATCTTAAAGTTATTATTGCATTATTAGTTTTTGGATAGCTTTAATGCCTTCTGATATAGCTACTGATTTTAAACGAAATTGACGGAAGTTATCCTTGCCCAGGAGTTTTACATTTTCCAGAGTGACATAAGCTATTAGTATTGCTTAGCCTACTTAAAAAAGAGGAAACAATCTTGGAAAATTATAATAAATTGTTATATTATATGTTTTATTTGTTTATTTATTTTTATAGCCTATTCTTCTTTCTATTATCAAATAATCAATTTATATATACCTATTGTCACATATGTAAATTTAATTTAATTATGTCTTTTAATATATATATATATATGTTTCTATTATACGTCTTTTAATTATATGTCTTTTAATATATGTTTCTATTATAATTTATTTATGCGGACAACAGTCATTGTTGTTCCTAACTAACACTTGTATAAATTAAATTAAAACTTGTATTACTACTACAAAAATAATACAAACCATTAAAGGTATTATTATATTATATTCCTTATTCAATTACACATGATATGACTTAAGTACTTGCCTCTTTAAATGAGATACATGAAAATCTGTCAGACATTTCAATTATTTTCAATCGAAGCAACTTAAAAATATACAAAAATATATGTGTTGTCAACGGTAATAATTTTATTTAATTAAATCATTTAAATGTTGAACTTAGTTCTATTTCATAGCTTTAAATACTGAAAACTTAATTTGATATAAAACCATAAACAAAAACCATCTATGGTTTATCTATGATTATAAAAAAATGAAGAGCTTTTTTGTTATTAAAAGTAATGTTATTTATACATATTCTGTGCAATAACATTAGAGAAAAAGCTCTATAACAGAATAGTTAACAGAAACCCGAAAGATCATTAAACGTGCATATTTATTATTAGCTTTAAATTGTAGGCTAGCAGAAAATTAGGTCACCAAAACGAGTTGCCAATGATCAAAATTTTATTTAATATAATTTGAGCTATATTCAGTCAATCTTAAAATTTAGTTTAACGGAAATTAAGAAAGAAATTATATATTCGTGTAAAAATTTTCATTAATCTTTATAATGATTTTTTTTTCTTGTAATTGTTTAGTAGTTTATAAATAAATTTAAGTCCATATTTTAGAAAAACTTTCTGAATATATTAAGAAACTTATATTTTTTCAACTTAAAGAAAATTATACATATTAATTAAAATACTAAATAATGTGTACAATAATCATATGGCATCTGTAATCAATAATCTATAAAGAATATAGTTAAATATTGTAAAGTACCGATTAGCGATCATAACAATTTATTATTAATATATATTCTAAAGTAAAAAATAATAAAAAATAATTTGTTTTGAATTTATATATTATTTTATTTGCAGATATATTTTTAGTTGTAGTAAATGAAAGTTACGACAGGAGACAACTATCAAAGGAATAGTTTTTTTTTCATTAAGAATTCTTATAAGGCTATTAAATTATACTTTATATAGTAGAAAGTATCTAAACTTTGTTCACTAATATAACTGTTTTTATGTATTCGAGCTATTAACTAGAGATAAACTTGTTTAATGCCAGAACTTCTAAGTAAAATAAATAATAAAATACGGTATTACTATCGCAATTAAGTCGACATATGTACACTTGTGATTTTATTCATACAAAATCTATACAAAATGTGCTAATGAAATTTCATAACTGTAAGTATAAACATTTTCAAGGCTTGTTTTGTGGAAGAAATTTTTAATGGAAAAAATAAGAAATACTATTTAATATTAAATGTTTTTATAATACATTTTATAATTATATTGAAATACAACAATCTTACAAAAATAACATTTACATTTACGCTTAAATTAAGCTCTTTTTATCATTTAATTAAAAAACTATTAATTAAAATATTTGTGCATATCATAATACTGAAATTTAAATAAAATTTATTAAATAAAGTTATTTTGACATCGTATAGTAAAAGGTGATGAAAAGTGGATCATGTACGATAATAGTTTATTTTATGCGAAAAATTAATGAAGCTCCTTATATTATGAAAAACCATAGATTGTCAACAAGAAAGGGTAAACTATGTGTTTACAAGAGTGTCATTCACTATTCTTCTAACAATCAATAGAATTCTGATATTAGGTTTTATATTAGGTTTTAAATTTATTAAAATTTATGTTTGTCCAAATTTACTACAAAAACTAATCTTTACTATTTTTGGCAAATTTTGGGAACTATTTTTCAGCTCACCACAGAAAAAAAATCTGTCTCTTTTTTCGGTCTTTTAAAAAAGGAAATAAAATATTTTATTTTGTTTGTTGTCCTCAAAATTTTCTTAACATGAATAAAAAAAGAATTTTATATAATAAAAATTTTAAATTATTAATTAAAATTAAAATTTGTTAAAATAATATAAGTATTTTCACACTTTTGTATTAAAATCAAATCTATAAGTTGGCTACGGTACCGATTAACACTTATCATTGATCTCCCCATAAAAGCAGTAGTTTTTAAACTATCTTTCGTTCAATCTTTCGAACATCTTTCGAAAGTTTTTAACTATCATTGCTAGGAATACCATAGCATGCATGGCAAGATTGTCAGTCTTCTTGTGGCTCTCCTAAAAATAAGACTTGAATTAAAATTTATAATCTTAATTTGCAGTTCTCCGAAAAATATAAGTTAAATACAAATTTGAAGTCTTAATCTGTGGTTCTCCTAAAAATAAAACTTGAATTAAAATTTGTGATTTTAATTTGTAGTTCTCCGAAAAATATAAGTTAAATACAAATTTAGACTCTTAAGCTGTGGTTCTCCTAAGAATAAAACTTGAATTAAAATTTGTAATCTCAATTTGCGGTTGTCCTCCTAAAAATTAGACTTGTATAAAAATTAGTAATCTTTATTTTATAATAAGTTTTTTCAAATATAAAAGAAAGTCAAATTGATTTTATTACCACAACTAAAAACTCTTCTGTGCGTAAAGTTCTTTGCGTTTCTGCATCCATTTCAATTTTTGTCGCTGCTGAAATACTGATATTTGCTAACTTTTTCAAAAAATTTTACAAAAATTACTTCAACAAAAATCAAATTTTTATTTAGTAGTAACTTTCGTATTATATAGAATTGAAAAAATTATTATTTATTATTTATTTATTTATTTATGTTATTTAACTGTTTTGATATATTTTTATTGTAAAATATTTTTATTTGCGTTGTTTAAACTAAAATCTCCCTTCTTTCATTGCAGTTAACCTATAGCAAGTAATAACAAAATGGATTTCTATTACTCGCCTATTTCTATACAATGCCGTTCAGTTCTAATGACTGCTAAAGCTCTTGGAATTGAATTGAACAAAAAATTGTTGAACTTGCAAGCCGGTGAACATCTTAATCCCGAGTTCATCAAATTGAATCCACAACATAACGTTCCAACCTTGGTTGATAACGGTTTCTCCATTTGTGAAGCCCGCGCTATTTGCATCTACTTAGTTGAGAAGTATGGAAAAACTGATTCCTTGTACCCAAAATGTCCTCAGAAGCGTGTCGCCATTAATCGGCTTTTGGACTTCGAGGTGGCTGATTTGAACAAAAGCTTCGCGGAATATTACCACCCACAAATAATCTGTAAAGCTCCAGCTGATCCTAAAAACCTTAACCTAATTGAAGGTGCCTATCACTCTTCGAATATATTTTTGGAGGGACATGAGTTTGCTGTTGGCGATAGTCTCACCTTGGCTGATCATTTCTTATTGGCAAGTGTATCCACATTCGACGTAGCTGGTTTCGACTTCAGCAAATATGCTAATGTTGCTAAGTGGTACAACAATGCAAAGAGTGTCGTACCTGGCTGGGATGAGAATTGGGCTGGCTGTCAAGAGTTCAAGAAGTTTTTTAACTAAGTTTGTTAGTTCTTTAACATGATAGAAACGTAAAATAATCATGCGATGACAATTGTTTATTCCCATTTTTCACGAACCATGTTTTAAGTGTGAATTACTGAAAAATTTGTGAATTCCAACTTTTGTAGGAATTTAAGTGTATAAAGTATTTTAATTAAAGTGTAAAGTTTGCCATACGTATGGTATAATATCAACATAAGAATATTCATATTAAAACATAGTTAAGAGGTATTTAATTAACGATTTTTTTACTATAAATAAATGTTAACAATTAAATGAAGTTGTTTCAGTTATTAAAATTTATTGAATATTTATTGGAACTTTTAACTTTTCTGGTTTCCCAAAAAATTTATTAAAACTTATGTGTAGAGAAGTTACTGAAAGTGTATAATTTTACATGAAATTATTATATATGCAGTGCAGTTTCAACTGTTACAAAATATTGGGTATAAATGTATGTATTACTTAATAAAAAGAGGACCCTGACCCTGGACTAACCATTAACTCTGACCAAGAAAAATATGAAAATTGTTTTATAAATGTGAGCGATGACTTAAAAAGTTCGCTTTTAAGATTTATATTTTAATATAGTTTACCATGCCAAAAAAAAAATACATTTACGAAAATATTTGTTCTAATAGTTTGAGTAAACTGCAGTATTTCAAAACTTGGAAAATTATATTCGAAAAACTTAGAATTTTCTTCTTATTTAAATAAAACATAGTACTAAATTTGATTTTAAAGTCAATTATGACGAAAGAAACCACGTTTCTTAATAGATACTAATATTAGATCATAGTAAACTACAACAAATTTTTATTATTTATTAATTAATTGAATTTTTAACTGTTTCCAATCTTTCGAATATTGCCAAATAGTCTTCATCAGTGGTATTTTTGGAAATATTTGTTGTATATATAACTATACATAACGTACACAATACACAATGCATGGATATATTCTGAATCATTGTGACAAACCGAATCCAATAATTAATGTTCAACTGTTAGTCTCTCTAACTAAATTTTAGTCAACTAGATTCTCCGATTTTTAGCTTATCAAGAACATATTTAAGCGGAAAGTCTTATTGGGGTTTGATATATGAACTCGGTATTTCAAAAAAATAGGTGGACTTATAAGAATAGCACCAATTAAAAATAATCACTGAAAATAATTTTAATAATTATATTAGTAAATACTTACACAAGAACTTAATTTCTGATTACAAATTATATGTGCTATGACAACAACTTTTTTAAATAGAAAAGGAAATTTTCTAATCCAAATATTTTAATGATCAATCAATTGAGTTCTATACCTGACCGTAATAATGTTTCGGATACTGTAGAAACCAATCATCATTGGTTTTTAAAAAGATCTATTGATTTAATAGCGCGTATATAATTTTTAGAATACAAGCATCAACAATAAAGTACCGTAAAATTTGATTTGTAAAATAACTAGCTGTGTGTAGAGTATTGATACTTCAGAAAGCCAAAACTAAATCACATTTGTGATTATTTATTATATGTTTATTAATACTATGTATTTTGTTTTGCTAAATCATTCCAAACAAATGCTACTATAACATTCAGTCTTATCAGTTCAGTTATGATTAATTATTATATATAATTAGTATTTGTGTAAGCTCTATTCAAATTGACTGCTATAGGACTTGCTTGGAATTATTTTATATTTAATAAATATATATATATATTGAGTACATCAGTTGCAATAATTTCTTCGAACTGCGAACACGTAAAATTTAATAGATCCACAGTTTAGTGTTTCAGTACAAAATACAAACAAATATAAGCTTTAGAAAAGCATATCATATAGAATTCTTATTTATATATATAATTATGTATATATCTTCAAGTTGTTATATTATAAAAATATAAACAAAATAGAAAATGAGTCGCCTTAGTTTTATAGATATGGGAAAACTTGTATCGAAGTGAGTGCAATTTTGTTGAGCATAAAACAAAAATAAAGATTATTTTTAATTATATAATTATGTATATGCAAGTATGTGTTAAATATTTACATATAAGTGTGTGAGTTGAATTTAAAAATATAAACAAACTAGTAATAAGTTCTCTTAGTTTCACAAATGCGGGTGCACTTCTATCTGAATAAAATTTGTTTGACTTATTGCAGTATTTCGTTTATACGAGTATTGCGGTTTATTTTTTAAATCCATAAAATTGAATTTATTCAATTTGTAATATTTAATATTTAATATTATTATTTAATATTATATTATTAATATTTTGAAAAACTTTTCTATATAAAAAATATATGTAAAATGTTCATGCAATTGATTCATATAACAATTTCAAAAATTTAAAGGTACTCATAATTTTTTGGCTTGTGTGAAACTGTTTCCCTCATTCTTATTTAGAGGCACAAATATTTTTAATGAGATTTTTAAATAATTGGGATTTCATTTATTGTAAAAATAGTGACTTTTTATTAATAGAGTAACTATACTATATGTCGAATCCTTATCATTCGCATAAAATAATATAATAGCAGAAAAATAACTTTGCAATATATACAAAATAGTTTTATAATTTTTTATAATATATAAAATTATTTTAAATATTTAATAACATATTCAAATAATGATACCTTTTCAGAGCTGTTAAATTCAAGTATGATCAATACAGCAAGCAAACTAATATAACAGAGATAGTTAACACAGACAAAGGTCCAGTGAAAGGCGTAAAGCGTTTAACAGTATGGGATGACGCCTACTACAGTTTTGAAAAAATTCCATTTGCTAAACCACCACTTGGAGACTTACGCTTCAAAGCCCCTATTCCAGCTGAACCATGGACAACAGTATTAGATTGCACAGCACACGCGAAACCACCTTTACAGAAAGGAATATTTTATAAGAAATATAAAGGTTCAGAAGATTGTTTGTATTTAAACGTTTTCACAAAAGAGGTAAACAAATACATTTTTATTTAAAATGTAAAATATTTATTAACGTTAATATATTCAAAAATCAGATTAAACCCACAACTCTACGACCTGTAATGGTATGGATTTATGGTGGCGGTTTCCAAAGAGGAGAAGCAACACGCGAGTTTTATAGTCCCGATTATTTTATGTCAAAAGATATTGTTTTAGTCAGCATAGCTTATCGCTTGGGTCCACTTGGTTTTTTGAGCATAGATGATCCAGCTGTTAACGTACCAGGCAATGCCGGTATTAAGGATCAAATACTCAGTTTGAAGTGGGTGCAATCAAATATTGCTGCTTTTGGTGGTGATCCAAATAATGTCACACTTTTTGGTGGAAGCGCAGGTGGTGCTTCGACACATTTCTGTATGCTTACAGAACAATCTAAAGGCTTGTTTCACAAAGCTATTTTAATGTCCGGCAGCGCATTATGTCCATGGGCTATGGCACCGCAAAATCATTGGGCCATCCGACTAGCACAAATTTTACATTATAAAGGTGATGAAAATTGTAGTGCCGATATTTATAAGTTTTTGTCACAAAGTAAAGGCGAAGATTTGATAACAGCAGCTAGCACTATTTTAAATGATAAGGAAAAGCATAAACGTGTATTGTTTCCTTTTACACCTACTGTAGAATCCTATGAAACTGAACAAGCCACATTAATTGGAGCTGCATATGATATGCTTGGAAAAACTTGGAGTAATAAAATACCTATCATTATAAGTGGTACCAGTTTCGAGGGATTACTATTTTACCCAGGTTAGTTTGTAACTCTGATTCATACGAGTAAATATTAATAATATATATAAGCTTTATCAAAAGCTTATATTAAACTGGCTTCAATTATAAATTTTTGAAGCTTACATCTCCAAAATAATGCTCATTTATATATATATATATATATATATATACATAGTTACTAGATAACACTTTTAATTTATATTATATTACAGATACCATTAAACGTTCCGTTACTTTAGATGAAGTTGAAAATTGTGAGCATTTACTTCCTGCTGATATAGATTTGAATCAAACAGATGAAAAGTTATTGGAATATGGTTTAAAACTAAAAACCTGCTATTTCGGTGAAAATGGATGTAATAGAAAAGATATAATGAAATTCTTAGAGGTAGAAATTTTTTCTCTCTTATGATATTGACAAAGCATATTTATATGGTTTGTACAGACCTACATAAGTAATATACATACATAGTGATATATACCTGCATAGGTGTAAAAAAATTGTTACGAAAGACTTTATATATGTATATAATATACAAATATGTATATATAACTGTGCAACACACATTTAGTGTTCGCTCGAAAACGTGAACTAACTGAAACTAAAAGTTTTGTTCACTATTTGAAGAAGTGAATACGAAGTGAAAGGTGTGATCGTAATCCATCGTTCACTTAAGTCAGTCTTTACGTTTTCTTGTGTTTAATGCATCTCTTTGCAATTTCATTATTAGTTCAAGAAAATTTGATTCTAAATTTAAATACTTTAAAATCTTTTCCAGTTGGAGTCTGATCGAGAGTTTTGGCACCCAATCTACCGTACCGTTCTATATCGGTTATGTGCTAACTCAGCACCAACCTATCTCCTACGTTTTGATTTTGATTCTAAAGAGGGCAATTACGTTCGAAACTTAGTATGCGGTAAAGACATCCGCGGAGTTTGTCATGCTGATGACGTGAGCTATATATTTCGTGGCGCAATTAGCGGCACTCATATAACGAACTCTCCTGAAGATTTAGTCATAAGAACGATGATTAATATATTTACAAGTTTTGCAATAACTGGAAATCCAAATTGTCAAGAACTTGCTCATGTGAATTTTGAACCAGTTAAGAATTCTAGTGAAATAATGTGTCTCAATATTTCCCACAAAACAGAGTTTATAAAACTACCAGAGCTGGACAAAATGAAAGTGTGGGACAGTTTTTATAGAAAGTGATATTTTTAGATCAATTAGATAATTATTTTTTTATTTTTTATAAAAATAGAAAATCAAAAATAAATAAAGGTTTTGAATAAAAAAATAAGTATTATTGTTACTTCAATACATGTAATACGGATATGTTATATAATTTTATTTTTACTGCAATTTATTTAAAGAGACATGAGGAGCCAGTTATTAATTTACCATTACTTATTCTGATAAACAAATTAAAGGCTAGAAGCTTAGGAACTATTCCTGACCAATTTATATTGTTAAATAATTGTCTGATAGTAGGAAATGAAATATAAAAACCCTGGCAAAAGAAATAAAATGCGACATAGGATAGGACTTCTATAACAAAGGATTAAAAAGTTAGCAAAGAGTATCTTATTTATATACATGACGCCAAACATCACCAATGTTACCTATAACACCGACATCTATTGTATCCCCAGCACAATAGAAAAGATTAATAACGAAAATAATCTATGCAAAAACAACACAATTTAATTAACAGACAGATAGATTAACAACAGATAGTGCAACGGAAAAATCCTTACGGAGCAACTGGGAACTTAAATCGTTCGATAAAGAACATAAAACCTAGATGTTCTCTTAGGTGATAATAGTGAATCGGTTTAATTTAAAAGGACTCCGCTATAGTAGTCACAAAGTACATTTTTATTTTAGAAAACTATCTTTGTGACAATTATAAAGAGCTAAATTTTCAGAGCTTTATAAAATCAGTAATAAAGTACCGCAAAGAAGTCTCTTCGGATGTGTCACCTGTTTTTCATCTGGAGCCTTTCCTCGAAAATGGCCGCACTGCTGTAGATAAAAGTTTTCTTATTATCTGTGATTAAAGTATAAAATCTACAAACTTCTCTTAAAAACATAATAAGGTATTCAAATTTTAATTTAAAATTTAACTAATAGTAATTCATATATATTCACTAATATATTAATTCATATAGACTTAAGTCATTTGAATATATCACTAAAGTCTGGTTTTATCGGCGGCTAAGTAAAACATATGGGCATTACTTAAGACTCAAAACTCAGCTGAAAGAAACAATTAGGAAATTTAGGCAAAAACTCCATTTTGTGAACAAACAACAAAGTAAAGCTAAATGGGCAAGTTTTGAAACTAATCTGAACATGTGATATCAAATTTTGAGATTATAGCTACGTGAAAATCTGAAAGTCTTTCGACATCCCAAAATGTATTGTACATACGACATGATATGAGAGAACTATATAGAGATCAAAGCATACCTAACCACTAATCGCAGCAAATATAATCCATTTTAGTAGTTAAAAATTTTTTTAGTGCTAAATATTTATTATATATTCATATTAATAGTATTAATAGTATTAATAGCATGATCATTTTCAGTACGATATTTTAAAATGAAAAAGTCATACGAATCTTATAGATGAATAATTATAGATAAATATAATTTAACTTCTTTATAGGATTTTATTATAATTAACAAAAGCTTATTATCGTGAAAATCTTTATTGTATTAGTAATATTGTATATATAACAATTCTGATTTTCTTTCTTAATTAAGTTTTAGTTATGTTATATTAATACACAGTGTTTAGTTAAAACGATAGATTCTTTGGCATGATCTTAGATAAGTTCAAATTTTGAATAGGATTTAAATGTTACTAGTTGTGATTTATTTCGTGACGCTTGAATTCGGTGTCTAATAAATTCATATTGTTAAATATTTTAAAAATTCCTCTATAATTGCCATGAAGTTATCATTTGATTTTAGCATAATAATAAAATATTAAAGAACAGTTTTTTTTAATGATGTGATATTTTAGGATCCTGTTAAGAAAAATATTATATGGTTTTATGTCTAAGAATATCATACTTCTAACTTCTGATTAGGAGGCAAGTAAAGCCATAAAATGTCAGAATCGAGTAAAATCTATTTTTTTTTAATTTTAATACTAAAACATACATATAACTTTCCTATAACTACGAATAAATTAAATTTAAACCATATTCGAAAAATATATTAACTAATAAGCTATAGTTTTCAAAAAAAAATCTATTCTGAGTCAGATTGTCTCCATTTCATTTATTGATAAATATAGACATATTAAAAAAACAATTTAATGCTAAGAATATAGCTCATAATCAAATTCGTATATGCCATCAATATTATGAAAATTTGGAATGACGAAGCTTAAATGATATTGCATAATTATAAACAAATTAAACGCTATCGTTGTTGTATAATTTCTAAACAAATAATTTATATATATTTATTATCAATGTTATCAATTCACTTGATATGAGGAATATAAGGAATTATTTATAAACACTTTTCTTATATATTAACTTACAGTCATACATACATGCATTTACATACATATTTACAAGTGTAGCGTAGATTTGCCGGGCTCATTTCAGAAATTCAATAAAATATTCTGAGCAAATCAGTTATACCAAAGCTCTCGATCTGTGAAAGTGTGAAGTTTTAGTTTCCATACCGGCTTATTCGTATATTTTAAAATTGTTAACTTGCCAATCATTTACTAAAGATATATAAATACAAAACAAAAATGAGTCATTTCAGTTTAATAGATGTGGGCAAATTAATGTTTAAGTAAGAATAATTTTAAAAAAAGTTTACCGGAGAGTTTCAAATGTGCTTAGAAAATAAATATGTATATACATATATAATATACAATATATATAATATTTATTTCCCTTTTAAATATTGATCAATAGTTTATATTTTTCCTGCAAAGGTCGATACCGTTTTACAAGGTTTGCTCCACTAAGAAGGAGAGCATTAATTTCATTAATTTCGTTAAAGTACAGATTTAATAAAAAACTTTTTAATTGTATAAATAAATAATATAAATATATATTAATAAAAATTTAACATAATGTTTATTTATATACATATATAATCAGTTAATTGTGGAGAACAAAATGTCTCTAACTTAAATAAATATTAATGAGACCCTTTTATCTCCATGTCTAAGTGATACTCGAAATATAAAAATATATTACAGATAGTAAGAGATATACAATCATTAATTTTAATTTATATGTCGAAAGTTGTCTAACGCCAAATGAAATGATTTTTTTTTTCAAGATTTGTGAAATTTAAATATGAGCAATATAGTAAGCAGACTAATATAACCGAAATAATCGATACCGACAAGGGACCAGTACAGGGTGTGCAACGTATTACAATATGGAATGATGCCTACTACAGCTTCGAAAAAATACCATTTGCTAAACCACCACTTGGAGATTTACGGTTTAAAGCTCCTGTACCCGCTGACCCATGGACGACAGTATTAGATTGTAAAGCGCCTGCCCCACCACCGTTGCAAAAAAGCATGCTCTTTAGTAATTACAGAGGTTCAGAGGATTGCTTATACCTGAATGTGTTTACTAAAGATGTAAGATGTGACATATTTTCATATTTTCCATGCAATTGATTCTATAAACTTCTAGATTAAACCTGCAGCGTTGCGTCCTGTAATGGTGTGGATTTATGGTGGTGGCTTTCAAGCTGGCGAGTCTTCCCGCACTTTATTTAGTCCAGATTATTTCATGTCAAAAGATATTGTTTTTGTAAGCATTACGTATCGTGTCGGACCACTTGGTTTTCTTAGCATTGATGATCCAGCTGTTAACGTTCCAGGCAATGCCGGTATTAAGGATCAAATACTTAGTCTAAAGTGGATACAAACAAATATTGCTGCTTTTGGTGGTGATCCAAATAATGTCACACTTTTCGGTGAAAGTGCTGGTGGTGCTTCTACACATTTCTGTATGCTTACAGAACAATCAAAGGGTTTGTTTCACAAAGCTATTTTAATGTCCGGCAGCGCATTATGTCCATGGGCTATGGCGCCTAGAAATCAGTGGGCACGACGTTTAGCACAAAAATTGGGTTATAAGGATGACGAAAACAGCGGTGCTGATATTTATAATTTTTTGGTACAATCTAAAGGTGCGGATTTAATAAAAGCGGCTGATACCATTCTTATTGGTAAAGAAAAACATAGACGTGTATTGTTTCCGTTTACTCCAACTGTGGAACCATATATCTCAGAGTCAAACATTCTTAATGAGCTAGCGTACAATATGTTGGAAAAGACCTGGAGTAATAATATACCTATAATTATAAGTGGTACGAGTTTCGAGGGTTTATTATTTTATCCAGGTTAGTTTGTTTCAATAGTCGTTGATTTGAATCGAATAACATAGGTATTTACTTTCAATTTATATTACAGATATTATTAAACGTCCCGCAACTTTAGATGAAGTTAAGAACTGCAAACATTTATTGCCTGCTGATTTAGATTTGGACAAAACAGATGAAAAGCTAGTGGAGTATGGTTTAGCACTGAAATCATGTTATTTCGGAGAAGAGGAATGCAACGTTAAAAATATGATGAAATACTTGGAGGTAGAAACTTTGATTTCTGTAATCATTTAAAATCATTATACATGTTGTGTCGGTTATATTGAATAGTTACAAAAGGAACTATATTAGGTTTGGTGAAGGACACTAAGTAATGTCTGAGTCATAAAGCGAATTCGCTGCAACCAAGTTGCGGGTAATGAAACAAAAATTGCAGCAATATTCTTTTGAAGCCTTTTTGCTAACAATGGAGACTATTTTCTGACAATTCTCATGCAATTATTCTTTAAAGAAGTTAGATAAAAAAATGATTTGTGAACTTTTATAGTACAAATTCATTCTGTTGCATTCTGACGGAACTATAAAAAATTGATATAAAACACCACCATTGCAGTACGATTCAAATTTACTGCATTCAATTAGAATTTTGTAAACTTATCAAATATATATATATATATATATATATATACCTATGTATATTCCAAAATGTAATGCAGATTTATTTTATTGTTTTAATATATGTTATACAGAAATTTAATATTAATAATATAAATATTTACTTTATGAATCACATGCGAATATAATTTAAAGTTTAAAATAATTGTATTTAAATTTAATCATTTCAGTTGGAATCTGATCGGGAGTTTTGGCATCCGATTTATCGTACTGCCTTGGCTCGTCTACGAACAAACTCAGCACCCACCTATCTACTACGCTTTGATTTCGATTCAAAAATCGGCAATTATTCTAGAAACTTAATATGTGGAAAAGACGTACCTGGGGTTTGTCATGCAGATGACATTGGTTATTTATTTCGTGGTGCTATAACCGATACCTATGCAGTGAACTCTCCTGAGGATATAGTCCTTCGCACAATGATTGACATATTTACTAGTTTTGCAATAACCGGAAATCCTAACTGTCAATCACTTGGGGACTTAAATTTTGAACCAATTAAAAGTGATATTAATATGAAGTGTCTTAATGTGTCAAATGAATTAAAATTTATAGAATTGCCTGAACTAAGCAAAATAAAAGTGTGGGATAGCTTTTATAAGAAAGGAAAACTATAACGAAATAATTGTATGTACATATGTGTACACAAGAAATTTTTCAAAGCATTTTTGGAAAAAATATATATTATTCTATGCCAGCAATATTTGATCGACGTTTCATTATTAATAGAAAGTTTTTGTAAACAACTTATTTATTTATCTAATTTAATTATATTTTTTTTCTTTGAATAAATAACAAACATATGAGAACTATAAAAATAGGAGTTTGTAATAATTGTGTTATACAATTTGAATTAAAAAATCATAAAACACCTTCGCTCCGTTGATTTACCACGATTTACCAGGTGTACCGGTATGAAATGAGCGTTTTTTGGTGAAAATAAAACACTAATTATTAATAGGAAAGTAAAAAACATTTTATTCAAAGTATTGGCCATTGCTTTCTACACATTTTGACCACCTTTTTGGCAATTTGTAGATACCACGCCAAAAAAATTGTTCGTCTTTTAAAGCAAACCAACCAGACACCCAATTTTCGACCTCCTCGTAGGAATCAAAGTGCTGCTCAGACAATGCGTGTCCCATCGATGAAAACAAATGGTAACCGGAAGGAACCAAGTCTGGTGAATACGGCGGGTGGGGTAGCAGCTCCCAGCCAAGTGTTTTGATTGCATCCTGAACCCGTTTTGCTTTGTGTGCAGGTGCATTGTCATGGAGCAGAATTACCTTGCCGTGTCTTCTGGCCATTCTGGTCGTTTCTCGATCAATGCATGATTCAAATTTATCATTTGTTGTTCATAGCGACCAGCATTGACGGTTTCGCCAGGTTTTAGGAGCTCGTGGTACACCACAACTTTCTGGTCCCACCAAACACACAGCATTGTCTTCTTGCCGAATCGATCTGGTTTTGCAGTCGATGTTAATGGTTGTCCCGGACTAACCCATGATTTTTTCCGTTTAGGATTCTAAAAATAAATCCATTTTTCATCGCCAGTAACAATCCGATGCAAAACCGATTTTCTTTCGTGTCTTTGAAGCAAAATTTCACAAGTGTTTTTTCGGTTTTCCATCTGTCTTTCATTCAATTCATGTGGCACCCATTTTCCACACTTTTGGATCTTTCCCATAGCTTTTAAACGGTCAGAAATTGTTTGTTTTGCAACATTTAACATTTCTGCCATTTGCTTTTGACCCAAAGCGTCATCTCCATCCAATATCGTTTGCAATTTGGCGGTCTTCCACGTTCTTCATTTCTCACATCAAAATCATTATTTCTGAACCGTTGAAACCGTCTTTTGCATGTTGCTTCTGATAGAGCATGATCACCATATGCCTCGACAAGCATTCGATGCGACTCTGCACCACTTTTCTTCAAATGAAAACAAAAAATTAATGCTTTCCGCAAATCATCACTTTCTGGTACAAATTCGACATTTTTAACACGATGAAAAATTATGATGTTGTCAGTTCAATGACTTGATGGATCACATTCTACATTTCTTTACTCATTTAGAGATTGTACTTATAAATTGATCATTATTACTTTGAAATAACGACGTCTTTATAGCTTTCCTAAGAGACAAGTTTTAGGGGGTTCAAGCCGTGAGTAATATAAATGATTGTCGTTCGGGCGTGTTATGCACCGACAACTACGATCAGTTTTGTTTGTTAAATTAACTAGAACTGAACTGAAAGTATCCAGAAAAGTTAACGCAACCACACCAGTTATGCTGCGACCGTCATTTTTGTGGTAAGTGTAGTGGTATTTGTGGCATCTAAATTGATATCTAGAAGTGGAATCATAAGCGCAAAATTGTTCACGAAGTAAACAAAGAACGCTGTATTTAACTTGACTATGATGGTCATAGCTGAATCTGCACAAACAATAAGTTAGCTTTGGTGCCCTTAGCAGTGTGTAAACGGGAAGTGTTACCTCGTTTATAGGATAAATTCCTAAACAAAAATTGTTATGTTGCGATTTGTTTTTTGTTTTGTTTAATACAAAGTAAGACAAAACTTAGACTGACAAATATGCCAAAACCATTTCACAAAACTTTGATTGATTCAAATTGTTAATCTTGTCAATTTATACATAATTATTTATGTTATTGTTTTTGAAATTTTCCACTTATGAAAAAAGAAATTCTGTAGACTGTTGTAGATTCGACTTATTACACAGTTATTATAAAAGTTCTTTTAAACTTATTTTAAAAGTGTGCAGTGTAAAAAATTTGATGTAAGAATTGTTGCGAAAATTTAATTTATTATTTACTATTTAGTGAATGGTGTATATAGTGCGATATAATATTTATAATATTATTTATATCAAATATATTTTAATATTATTTATAGTATAAAAGTTTTTGAATTTATTTATTGACCTGCTTTTTCATAATGGTTTCTTTTATATTTTTTAATATATATTATAATATTATTCATATTATATATATTAAAATATTTATAATAATATATCGCACAACATAAGGCTTTTTCTTTTATAAGCATATTAAAAAAGAATAACCGCTTGTTTTTAAAATAGCATATAAAACAACACTGCTGGCTTATTTAGTCCAACCTTTTTGAAATCGCTTAACTAATAAGCAGCTCAAATTGCATGGTTGCCAAGACTTGAACTTTGTCTATTGTGACCTGTTTTTGGAAGTACCTACGAAATTTCTAATTAACTGTCAACGATTGATTTCGTTAATTATTCATATTTCGTGTCGTCATTGTTCGTTACAAATATGTTACCTTTTCTATATTTTATTTTACTGTTAAACACATGAAAATTCAGATTTTATTCATGTAAAAAAAATATTCTCTCCAATAATTACAAAGAATTATTATTCATTTTCGAAATTTTAACTTTAAATTTTACTACGTGTTTTACATATATAAGCCTAAAAAAATTTCCATTTTTTCCAGAGTTGCCATTGAAGTAATGCTTATTTTATTTGTTCTTTTGCGACACACTTACGAAAGAAAAGGCCTATAAAAGTTTTAGTTACAATTTTATAGAGCACATTTAGGTCAAGTGTTCGAAATTGATCACTAAAGCAATACTTAAACTTAAACATATTCTATATCAGTATCAAAATTATATTTAAGTTTTCATTATTAAACTGAATCTTATATCTTTATCGATTGGCAAATCTAAATTTAACATACTATCGATTTGTGGTTTTTTAGTCAAATGTTGAAGCCCAATGGAATATGCTTAGAAAAATCCCAACATTATTCGATAGCTACACATACGTTGATAAGTGAGTAACGCTTATTTTTATTAAATTATTTATTTTTAGCTTCTTTTGTTGCATTAATTTAATTAAATTTTTAACTTTTAAATTGCAAGTATATTTAATATTTCAAATATTTAAATTACTAGATCAAATGACATTAAACAGCTATTATTTTTAAGGTAACTTTATTGATTTGAAAAAAAAATTGTTATTTTTGTGTTATAAAATCCCAATTGTTATACATTTTCCTTCTCATTAACCATTTAAAATTGAAAACTGTACTAAAAGTGAATCTTTGGTGAAAAAGTTACTAACACTAGATTGCCAATCAAAAGCCTAAATAATATACAAATAAAGCAGTGTGCGAGTAAATTGAGGTAAAGTAAATTAAAATTTTCTAGGGATTTTTTTGCACTGCACTTATGTATATATTTACTTATTGCACTTATTAATTAGTTTAGGTGACAAGTTTTCAAATTTATTTATTAAACAACTTTTAAAATTTTCACAATGGTAACACCTACTTTATCGAATTTTTTTGTAATTAACCATGCTCAAAATTCTGGTAAATACCAACATTCGCTGCCATCCCGACATAATTTAGTATTTCCCTCAATTTACTCGACTCGCACACGCCCTTAATAACAATGATACCATTTTTCTTTACGTAGCAATATAGTTGCCCATCTCAGCTTTTGTTGATTTTTTATGCACCACAAATATGTACAATTAAAACAAGAAGAAACAAAAATAGTGTTGCCAACTACCGAAATACTTTAATGTGTAATATGGGAAATTTTGTTTATGTATACAAAATAAATTGTCACTATAAATAATTAGGCATAAAGGCTGAGAGGGCAAAGTACTAATACAAAGTTTAATTAATTAAGATTATTTTTGGAAGTATGTAAGCTGAATTTAGTAACATTTCTTATAGAAACTGTGACACATTAACTTCTTAATCTGCCTTGCAAACCGGTTGAACATCTGCTTCATTATTGAATTTCACACTGCAGCTCATTGGCAGGGCGTGCAATCAGTCAGCTGTGAGTGCAACAGTGTGGGCAGTGAAGCACACAAACACACACATACCAATCACGATTCAAACAAAGCACAAAAAAAACACCATAGGAATTTTGTTTATGTTTGATCGTCAAATAAGTTTCTTGTTCAGTTGAACGCCGTTACGTGTTGCGTGTGGTTCATTTACGTTCGTTGTAATTTCGTTCGTTAAGGTTTTTGTTTTGCATTATTGTTGTATTATTTTACATATTAGGTGTATTGGTGTTTTTTTTGTTTTGTTATTTTGTTATTGCTATTAAACCAAAAGTAAATTTATTTTTACAAAAAAGGCGTTCGTGTGCTGGCACACTTAAGTGTAGTTTTATATTTGTTTGTGAAAGTAAATTGCTAAGATACTAATTAAAAACTGTTAAATATTAAAAATAAATTGTGGTGAAAAGTGGCGCAGTAGGTGAGAAGGTGCCGTTAGTGTAATTATAGCAAAGTAATTGCTCTATATTTTGTTTAAAATGAGCAGTATGCGCTTAAGAGACTGGTTCAGTCTGATTTACAGGTAAGAGTGATCGTTTTTATTTTCATTAAACAAAACTAAAATCAATCAAATAATTTATTTCATAACAAATTTACATTAATCATTTATTATAAAATCTTTTTTTTTTAATAATTTGTTTTTATCTGTTTTGCATAAATTATTTTGTTTTCCTTTCGCTATTCGTTGCGTAAATTTCAGTCTGAGCGGCACATTCGTCTGCATTGCATGTTTTGCTTGATTCCCGCCTTTGCTTTTTCTTCCGTCGCTTCATCAAGCATTTCATGTTTTGGTGACTACGCTCTTTCGACTACAATTTTCGGTCGTCATGCTCGCTACGCGAGAAGCCAAACCAAAGCAACGAGTTCGTTGCGTGTTCTAATTCTTTGCGTTTGAAACTAGTTTGTTTTGCAAGTTTTCTGCGAAAATATTAAATTTGCTGTGCTTCAAAGCTAACTGTGCGGTCTGATTGTTTATTAATAAAAAATAATTATTAAATTAGTTAGTTTAGTGCATTTTAAAAATAATTGAAGTTTACCCGCTAAAATTATTGCGAGTTCGAGTAAATTGAGGGAAATAGTAAATTATGTCGGTGTAGCAGCGAATGTTGAAATTTACCAGGATTTCGAATAGGGTAAATTAGATAAAAATTAAGTTAATTTGGTGTTATCATTGTTAAAATGTTATAAGATGTTTAATAAATAAATAAATAAATTTGAAAACTTTTAACCAAAAATAATAAATAAGTGCAATAAATAAATAAATATTTACTTTCAATTTATTAATAGAAAGAATAATGGTAATGGTGACCTGTTAGATCTATTTTTGCAAACAATTTAAATAGCATTAGATTGCAATTATTTATAAAAAGAATACAGAACATAGTGACGTATGCGTTCTATTGTATAATTCTATTGTATATTCTATAACTTTACTAAAAATCTCTCAATGTCTCCAATATGTGTTATCCAAATATATTAAGCTATATATTAATTTTTAGTCCTGATATCTTTATGTACTAAAGTGGATTGGAAATTTCATCTAAAATAAAATTTTTGACAAAAAATGAGAAGCATATGCTTTGACGGATTTGTGAATTAAATAAGCAGTCACGATAAAATGGAATATGGATTCAGTGTTGCCACCAATTTGAAAGTTATAGAAGCTTAAAGTTGGGTTCAAATCAGACTATTTTTCATTTCTTCTCTTCATATATTCCGATAGTTTACACTCCATTTACCTTATCTCTAGCGTTTGTGTTCGTTACTCATCAAGTTGGCATTAAAAATTTACATATTTTTTATATAGAAAAATAAAAATTATTTTACGCAATCTTATCATTTTTTTTCATTCATCATTCATTTATCTTAAAAACTATTTTCAAGCACACTCGTCGACACTCACAATTTATTTCTTAATAGATTATTTTAGTGATATGATGTTATTTGTTCAATACGAGTGAATTTTAAGCGTAAACCGCATTTATATTAAAAAGATCAGTTTTTTTTTTAATATTAACAAAACTTGGCAGACACTCGATGGTTTTTTCCTACCATTAAGTTATTAAGAAAGTGTTTTGTTGTGACTGGCGTAGTATTCACGCTAATATAACAACTTTTTCCAAACTATTCATTTTTAAATTTCATATAATTATTAACGATTTTTTTCTCTAAAATTAAAAAAACACAATAATTTCGTTTTTTGTTTTTTGTGTTTGTGCGAGCCAAAAAAATCTTTGGCACGTTAACGACAATCGTTCGAATTTCAAGCGGCTAAGCTCCATCTACACCAACCGCATTTGTGGAGCTGGCGTGTTAGCCTCCATATGAGCGAGTAGTTGGTGTTTAAGATTTCGTTACAAACTTAATTTCTGTTATTAAAGCTTGCAAGTGAATCGATGGCAAAATGTTGCTCTAAGTTAATGGCTTTTATGGGAATGTTTTTATTTTTTAGAATTGAGAAACTACAAAGAAATCCAAAAATTATACTAGAATTATGAAAATTTTAAAATTAAATATATTACTCTGTAGTTGCTGTTGAGTAAACATGTATTTATTTATTTCCCTTCTTGGTAAATTTAATACTAATTGGTACTTTGCAAATGAAGCTAACTTACAAATTGAAAGTGCTTAACATAGTAATCAAACAATGATTACAAAAATGCAATACTCTGTTTTCTTACGGCGTATATTAATTAATCATAAAGGATTGAAAAAAGGAAGAACATCGTAAAAACACTATACAGTTTTACAAAAAATATTAATTACACATCTTCCAACTATCTGCGAAGATGCCTGTTTTACAACAGATTTTAGTATAAACATTCATTTTGAACAACTTATTTCACTAAAGTTTGTGTCAATATAGCTTAGTTTTTAAGACATCGTGTTTTAAAATAGAAAAATTTAAATGAAAAGCATCAATAACATGTAGACTTGCCTGAAGCTAATCGTCGTATTTGTAATAAATATAAAAAAATTACGTAGACTAGTTGACCTTAAAACGTATAAAAAACTTTATAACTTTAAACTTCTATATTTCAAGAAGCGAGATATCTCGGCATGTAGTGCAATGGAAATATTGCTTAAATAATTTTCACTAAGATGATTTTATGTTATATCATATCTTTGTTTTCTTATAGTTGAATGAATTTATCAAAATCTTTTCGATAAGGTCCTTTGTTAATAAGATCTTCTTTAGTTACAATTACAAAACCATATTTATCTTTCCAACATTCACTGCAAATCTTTAGAAATTTTTTAAATGAAATGTTTTCAATGATATGATCATTATCATTATATGTTTAAGATTAATTTCATCTTGTTTGAATTAAATAAAAACAATCTATATGCTTAAGTTTCTCCAAACAAAAATAATCTCTTATATTATTTTGTTTATTACATATTACATTATCGAATATTATTATGGAATGCGGTTTTATTTTCTGGGTATTTACAATAAATAAAAAAAATATATACAATAAATATATATATTATTAAAAGTAAGACCGTTTTAATAAGAGAGAAAAGAGAAATCTGAAGATATAAATAATGCTGTGAAAATTGCTCGAAAACCCATACAATGCAGTTTCAACAGAAAAAATTCATTATTTTTATAACAAAACTTTTCCCCTTAACCATAACCATGGAAAAGAACAACTAGTCAAGGTAACTCGTCACAATTGATATATGGTATCAATTGCTATTAGTAAAGATTGATATATTAAACCATGTAAGAAAGGATATGGATTTTATTATAGTGTCAGTCTAAAAAACTTTTCAATAACTTATCAAATCGAACAGATATTTTGATTTGGTTAAATATTGTAAATAACTGAAACATTTTAGAGGAGTTGGTTTTGAATATATTAAATATGATTTCCAGAAAATTGTCCGAGTCTACGTAGATAAATTCGTCTGGGGTGAATTACTCATAACATATTTTGGTTTCAGTTTCAGAGGTGAACCTGTAAAAAAATCATGGTACTACCAATGAAATTACGCTGCGAATAATAATAATACTACATAAGTATATTTTATTATAATTTTTTTATAGTAACTTTAACTACATTATTTTATTATTATTATTTTATTTTACTGTTATTAATTTCAAGAATGTATCCCCACATCCAGCACTCACAACTCACACCTAACCCTAAGCGCCCAGCTCAGGGCTCACACCCAACCCCCAGCCAAAACCAACAGGGCTCACACCAACAGGGCTGAACTTTATATCTTATTCAGTAACTTTCAATTTATTCCAGATATTTTATGTAACATAAAAGTGTGATTCATATAAAGTATTTCAGTTTAATTAAAAACTTTCTAAAACAAAAGGTCAATTATTCATATATTTTATTGTGCTTGTTAAATTTATATATTTAATAATATATATTATTAATATATATAATATATATTAATATATAATATATATTTAATAATATATATTTAATAATTTGATTACCTTATCATTTTATCTCAATGATCTTTTTAATCCCCATTTACTGATTTATTATCCTATTCAAATAACTCATTTTTCGGATATTCAAGCTAAAAACTACAGACTTGTTCGTGTTAATTCTTTTTTACCAATTAATCTCAATTTATATTAAAAATGATCCACCATCCGAAAATTCTACCATACGAATTTTTTCGTTTTTTTTAACAAATATTAGTTGCAAAATTTATGACGTAGAGTAAATAATCACCCTGTATGTAAGTTGTATATGATTGTACAAACATTTTAATCAAATTGTACGAGTTTATAGATAAAATATTTCGATTAATTGTGTAGTTAATTTAATAGAACAAGTTTCTCGGTTCTTACACAATGTAACGTGTAGTCAAGATTAAAATTTCTAATTAGTAGTTGCCTCAATTAATTGTGTTTTATAACGTAAAAAGTGCAAGTTAAACAAAATTAAATGCATTTTGTTATGAAATGCAATTGATAATTATAGTCTTCATCGTATTTGCAGTGTCCATTCAACCTAAGAGCTTATAAAACACCATATCTTTATGAAAATATTTTAGTAAACAAATTATTTGGTTTTTTAATTAGTTTTAATAATTTCATTTCGTTCTAATTATTATTATTATTATTATTATTCTTAATTAATTTTCATATCATTTCAATAATTCATTATAGAGTAAATATTTTATCAATTCATTATTTATTAAATAAACTTCGAATATATTCTAATGATTTAATTAAATTTGATTAATACGTTTAATTTGCCCACATTTGGTTAATAATTATCAAATAAATTTTATTACTTTCATTTCCTCTAGTAACAAAATATTTATTCTAATTAATTAGAATTTTTATCAACATTTTTGTTATTTATAAAATTAACAATAATTATTATTTTAATTTATTTATTTTAGTCGTATGTGATTTATTAGACAAATACGCTTAATTACAAGCGCTGAATAGTTACGAAGTTGATAATTGATACAACTTTATAGTACCTGAGCGATTAGCAGCGATTTCCGGGTTATATGTATAAAACTTGCATATTCAAT